GTAATTAGAGTGAAAGTATATCACGCGAATAAGTAAACAACGGGGCGTTTATTTATAGTAAAGATAAAAAGGGGAAAAAGGATTTCAAAATATAAATAGTTTTGCGGGTAATTTAATCTGTTGCGCAAACAAATTTTGAATTGAAGTTACCTTCAAGTTTAAGTTGTTTGTTTTGGTAAAAATAGTAAATTGTACGATCGCTTGTTGTTTAATCAAAATGTCACTGTATGTTTGTGCTTTTTGAATTTTAAATAAAAAACAATTAGTTTTCCTGACTTATGACTTGGAAATTAATTTTCCAATTTGATTAGGTTATAATCACCTTAACGCGTTAATTTAAAGTATTTTTCGTTTTGAATTACCTTAAACTGCAGTTTTAAGAGAAAGCTATTGCAGTGTGTTTTTAGTATGCTAAGTTTTCAGCAGTTGACTTAATGCTGCTGAAAATAGTTTTCTAGCTTTTAGTTAGAAATTTAAAAAGAAAAAAATGTAGAAGAGCCAAATGAAAGAGAAAATGTAAAACAAACAAAAAAATATGACAAACTGCTGTCACTGCAGCTACTGTTGTATGCACTAAATGCTCCATTTTCAATGCACCTTGTCAGTTATTGCACTAAATTCAAGCAAAATCATTATTAAACAGCAACAATATGTTTACAGTAATGCTAAGGCAATTTTAAAATAAGCGCAATTAGCAGTGCTTACTTCAAACTGCTAATGATTTTTCAAGTTTTGTTTTTACTTTTTCTAACGGAAAACGGAAATATTGACAAACTACTTAATTTGTACAATATGCTTATTTATACTTTGTTCTAATGTCAACTTTTTTGTGCTTTTTATGCTTTTAACAGAACATTTCAACCACCAGCTTCAATCGTCAAGTTCTTCTTCACCAGCTGCTGAACTGCCTGCAATGTTTTCCTGTTCACACAACAGTTGATTCACTGACCAAATTGTTGTTTTACACACCTTTTCAAACACACTAGTCCTTTACCTTTGTCATTTTCGAGACTTTTCAGTTTCTTTCTTTCCCGCCAATCTCATAAACCATTTTACCAATTTCACCAGCCAATTTTTTTGTCACCCCTTTTTCTGCCAATCTTTTAGTGATTTTGTTATTCCCATCAGATACCAACACACACCCCCCCCAACCAAACACACATTGACACTACTGTTTTTGCACACCCACACACATTTTATCTGATCAACGATTGAGTTGATTTTTCTTCACACAAACCAATACCAAACAGTCGAACAATGCCGTGCCACACGCTGAACAAAGCTCATTTTCACACACATTTAATTAGTTAACTTTTTGTCAAACTGTCTCAAATTGACAAATTTTCAAAAACTGGGCAAACATTTTATTTCATTTTTACTCTCTCTCTCTCTCTCTCTTTTTCCTTCCCTCTCTCTCTTTCTCTTCAAAACAAAACCTTTTTATGTGACCATTTGTTGTTCACTCTATCCTCTTTCCTAACATCTCAAATCTACCTTTTCTCAAACTCCCCTTTTTTTCTCTAAAACACAGACACCCACTTAAAATCACACACACAACAGTCACTTTTACCTCTCTCTCTCTCTCTCTTTCTCTCTCTGTTCTTTTCCTTTACTCTGGTTCACTTTGAATCATGCAAGTGAATGAAAACGGAAACTCACACCCGCCCAGTCACTCCCTAAATCGACCAACCACTTTGAGCATTGACAGTTCAGAGAACGCTCTCGCCACCGGCCCAGAGCTCCCGCCAAAGACGTACAAACAGTTGAAACGTTATCAGGAGCACTACTGCGGAACGCCTGCAACCAGTTCTTATCAGCAGGACCAAGACCAGGACCACCAAGGTCACCAGGACCACCAAGGTCACCAGGACCACCAGGACCACCAAGGTCACCACCAACACAACACACACAACCACTACCACCACCATCACCACATTCCCCTACCTGACCACGCTTGGGTCATTGAGCCAAATTATCAACACCAACACCTTCACCCGTACGAGAACCAGCCCTCAAACGTCAACGTAGAGTACCACCGAGGTGAGCCCTCGAGTATCCTCATCTCTGGCCCACCACCACTACTGCCGCTGCTGATTCGCCAAAATAGCATCAGCAATCTCTTCAGCCTGAACCAGCTGGCCATTCACCCTGACCACCTGCAGCAGCAGCAGCAGCTGGTGGCGGCGGCCAGCCAGCAGGTGATCACCTCTTCTTCGGCAGCAAACAGTGGTAACGATCATTTTCAGCCACCACCACCACCACCACTACCACCGAAACAACAACTTCGACCACTACCACCACCACCTTCTTCGCTAGGATCAGCCTCGTACAGCGGCGACAACAGCAGCAGCAGCAGCAGCGGCGGCGGCAAATCACCCCCAGAGCAGCCAGAAAGTCCATCCACTGAAGACCATCATCACCCTCACCCTCACCCTCACCCTCACCCCACGATGAGCTCTTCAGGAGGCGTGAAAAGTCACGGCAGTAGCGGCGGCGGCGGCGGTGGCTTTCGATCACCCCGATCCGGGCGTTCTTCAGAAGTAGGAGAAGTAGGCGGCACCCGAGGAGCGATGATCCACTCGGCGAGCAGCGAGTTCTACTCGCAGCACCAGAAGCAGTACCACCAGCACCAGCACCGCAGCAATTACCTCAATGGGGGCGGTGGTGACCGGTGGTGCCGACCGACGCTAATCGATCCGCCCCCTCGAGATGAAGCCTTCCAGCAGACGCTGGAGCAACTTCGCCTGAACAGCCGCGACACACTATCGCCGGCGCAGCTGGAACAGCTGCAGCTGAAAGCGATGCCGCCGATGATGAACAAGATAAAGAATGGAGGTAAAAAGATCGCAAAAAATGGTAAGGATGATAAGGATGGTGGTGATAACCACCACGATGATGATGGGCGTGACCCGGAAATAGATGAGGGTGATGATGAAGAGAACGCCCACCCGGCCAATCATCAACTTCGAGCGCCCGCCCACCGGGAGACCCATCCTCTAGCGCAGCACAAGATCGAGACGATCAAGAATCACTACCACCTGATGTTGCTGGAGCGGCACCTCGCGCAGCCCCCCACCTCGGAGACAGAGGAAGTGGCAAAAGCGGAAGTAGAGGGGGGCGTGGCCCAGGCGTCCTCTGCCAAACGGAGCGGCAGCGCGATGACCGGAGGCAGTGAAGAGGATCCTGATGAAGAGCACCAGGCTGATATCAATGGCCATCACAATGGCAAAGGCAGTGCTAATGGGACCTCGATCACCCCCGGCAAAGCCACTACTTCCGGTTCATCCTCTCGTCAGAATGGCTCATCTGGAAGCTCGAATGGCGGCCACTCAACTCGCCACTCTATCGGCCACTCCATCAGCAACCTCTTCAGCAAGTGGACCCATTCGAAGAGTCACAATGATGCCAAAAAATCGCTTCCGGCAGTGGTCAAACTGGCGGAGCCACAGTCGCCCACCCACCAGCTGGACGAGTCGACGCTGATCGTTTTTGGGCAGAAAGGAGCGGGAGCAGGAACGGGAGCAGGAGCAGGAGAAAATGTGGGCGAAAAAAAAGCTCAATTTTCTAAGCTTAAAAAAAACTCAAAATTTTTTAAGCATGCCCTGGGGCAAGATTTAGAGGGGGCGGAGGAGGGGGCCGAGGAGGAGGAGAACATTGAGGCTGATGAGGAGGAGGCTAAATCAGCGGAGAAACAAGGTCGTCTAAGTAAATTGAAGCGCTCTAAAACGATTGCAGCTCTAAAATTCTTCAACTTTAAATCTAAGCGCCGCTCAGCATCTCCAAATCAAACTTCTTCTTCCTCCTCTTCCTCTGCCTCTTTTTCTTTCCCATCCTCATCCAGTCATCCCCGTCATCTACCCGAATCATCCACTTCATCTTTAGCTGCAAATCATCATCACCCTCATCCTCCTCATCCCTCATCCAAATCATTCATCAAAAGTCACCTTCACCTTTCAAATGCCAAAAAAGCTTCCAAACAAGATGAATCTGTTGATGATGATGATGATCAGTCAGGTTCTCACTTTATCAACAGTAAAGTCCACAGCATCAATCGCGCCAAGTCGAGCTCCTTTAACCTCCTCTCAAGCCGACCTCCCATCTATCAGCAGCAAAAGTCCCTGATAGTAGCTCCAGTGACCAGTGTGAACTACAGCTCAAAGGCTACCACTTTTGCCTTTGATAAAGAGCACAGCGCTGAAGAACTGAACACCGAGGTTTTCGCTTCCAGTAAACACAAACAACAAAACTTCCAGCACATTCCCAGCAAAAACCTTCTCAAGCCGCCGCCGACAACCTCATCATCAGCTGAGCACCACCGCTCCAGGCCCTCTACTTCAAAGACTGAAGGCGGCGGCGGCGGCTCTCTAACATCGCTACTCTTCGGCGCCCGCCTTCGAAAATCTCAATCAGTTCACGAGTCTTCAACTTCAACCTCCTCAGTAACTCCTGTCCACAAGACAGTAGAGAACTCCTCAAACGCATCTTCCTCTTCATCATCAAATCACCACCACCAAACGACTACCACCAGTTTCTTCAAGTCCTTTGCTCGATCCAAACAGCAGCGGCGAAAGAACGCCAGCAGCTCCGACGTGGCCGCCGCCGGAAGTGACCACAGCAGTCCACCTCTAATAGGCAAACACCAGCGCCACCACCGGTCAATGGTCGGCCTGCGGCGGATTCACTCGAATACAGGGGCCAACTCGGCGGGAATCATCTCCAGCCTGGCCTCCACTTCCGGTGGCTCCAGCGGCGCCAAATCAGTCATTCGGAGAAGACAATCGCAGAATCAGCTAAACTCCTCCTCCTCAAGAGCTCCCATTGACCAGGCGAACCAGGCGAAGGACCGCATCTCCAAGCGGCTCTCCCTGCCCGCCGACCTCAATCTGCCCTTCAACTTTGTGAATCGAATTCTGACGGAGAAGGAAATGGAAGAGGAGCTGGCCCGGGCAAAGAGGGAAGGGAAAATCGGCATCATCGGTCGGGACTACATTCGCCCCAGTATGCGCGGTTTTGCCCGCCAAGTGGCCGCTGCTCGAAGAGGCGGAAACAGTGGAAATGGAAATGCTGGAACTTCCGGTAATGACAGTGAGTTTACCGATGAGGACTTTGCCGACCTGGCCACCTCGCCGACGCTCTTCGCCGAGTCGCCGGAAATTATCGGCCTCTTCAGTCCGCTGCTCAGTGATGACAATACGCCGCTGTCGAGGCGAATTAGACGACAGTCGCTGGTGAGTGAAACTTAAACAAATTTTATTTATCTTTAAAAAGATGGTAAAAAGTACTAATGTTTCCTTTTCTTCTTTAGGTTGAAATCGGCTTTGGCCGCCTGGAGACGTACATTAAGCTAGAACTGCTGGGCGAGGTAAACGATTGATAAATGAAAATCAAAATGTTTGTACATTGGCGGTAACTTATCTTTGTGCACACTTTTTCACTTTGCAGGGAACCTACGCCAAGGTCTTCAAAGGCCGCTCCAGCCTGACCAGCAACATGGTCGCCCTGAAGGAAATTCGCCTAGAGCACGAAGAGGGCACGCCCTGTACGGCCATTCGAGAAGGTAAAATAGATAATCAGAAATCAGTTTATTGTGGTTAAAAACTAACAACAATTTTTAACATCACTTTTCACCAGTGTCCCTGCTGCGCAACCTAAAGCACCACAACATTGTGACGCTGCACGACATTGTGCACACCGAAAAGTCGCTCACTCTTGTCTTTGAATACCTGGTTAGTGGGCTTAAGTACTTAAATACTAAAAAGTGTGACTCATTTTCAATGTTTTTTCTAACAGCCCAAAGACCTGAGCAAGTACATGCACGAGTGCAACAATCACCTACACTATCAGAATGTTCGCGTATGTAAAAAAAGAGAAAAAGTTCACCAAACTTGTTTAAAACCCTTGATAAAAATTATTTATTTAACAAAACATCATTTTTTTATTTTATTTTCAGCTCTTCCTCTTTCAACTCCTGCGCGGCCTCGCCTACTGCCACAAACAGCGCATCCTCCACCGCGACCTGAAGCCGCAAAATCTGCTCATCTCAGAGCGAGGCGAGCTGAAGTTGGCCGACTTTGGCCTGGCTCGCGCCAAATCAGGTACCGCCTTTTCAGGCTATTTTAACCCCTCTCCTCTAAAAATACTAACGAAAACCCCCACTATTTCTATCCACCCCACCCACCCACTCCCCAGTTCCCTCAAAAACCTTCTCCAATGAGGTAGTGACGCTGTGGTACCGCCCACCGGACGTCCTTCGCGGCGCCACCGACTACTCGCTGCCGATTGACCTGTGGGGCGTGGGCTGCATCTTCTTCGAGATGGCCGCCGGGAAGCCGCTTTTTCCCGGGGCTAATGCCGCCGACCAACTTGACCTGATTGACAAGACGATGGGCAGCGACCCGGACAACCTGACGATGCTGCCGCTGGCCATCAGCAGTCGCATTCCCAAGCTGGGGCCGCAGGCCTTCGATCTGATGTTCCACCTCACTCGGGTAATGAATTAATCTTCGAATCTCTTTATGCAGTTTTCTAACTTTGTCCATATCATCCTTATCATTATCATCATTATCATTACCCTCACCAAAACACAGTACGAGCCGACGCTGCGAATCGCCGCCGACCAGGCCATGCTCCACAAGTACTTCACCCAGGTGCTCGACTCGCGCATCTTCACCCTCAAGGACCACCAGTCCATCTTCTGCCTGGAAAGCGTCCGCCTCTGCCGCGACCCGGGCCTCGCCTCTTCCGGCCAGTCGGGCGCCTCGCCCTCCGGAAACTCCGGTAGCGGGGGCAATGGAAACGGAAACGGAAACGGCCCCAGCAACAATACCACCAACAAAAACCACGACCAGTCGCACACTTCCGCCCAGAAGGGGGTCAATCAGACTGAGGGTGCTCATCAATCACAGTCAGTGGCTCCAATGGCTGCTCAGGCGCCCGGTCCGCCGCCGCCCCCTCCGCCGCCGCCCAACCAGAACAACAACAACCACAACAGCGGCCACCAAAGTGCCCACCAGCCCACAAAGCAGTCGACCTCTAAGCAGAATGGCGGCCGACAGCACGGAACGTCAATGGCGGCGATGGCCATGCTGGCCGCACTGGAAATGGCCGACCAGCCCCATCACCCCTATCACCCCCAGGGTGGCCAGGGTGGTCACCCCCAGGGCCTCTTCTCCGATCCTCAGCTTCTCTCCAGTGTAGGGCGAAGTCTCGGCGTCCACCAGGCGGACATGGACTCCTACCTGGGCCTTTCCAATCACCCCAATCACTTTCCGCTTTCGAGCACTGAGCACTCCACGCAGCAGAATATTCACCCCCATCACCACCAAAACCTTGATCACCAGCACCAGCACCAACAGCACCAACGAGTTTACAATCCCAATAACATTCCGGCGATTCCGCCCGGCGTGCCCACCTCCTCCTTCGGGCCGGACATGCGCACCCTCTCTGCACTGCACTTTCATCCAACTTCAGGTGGGTTACCATTATCAGTAGCATCAACTTCTTCAGGTCAATCATCCTATCAGCCCCAATCATCTTATCAACAACACCTCCCGCCCTCGCATGCTGCTCACCCGCAGATTAGTCTTGCTAGTGCTAGTGCTAGTGGTAAATCATCTTCATCATCATCTGCCAATCAACAGCCCAAACCCCAACAAAAACAACCACAACACCCTTCTCAGATCCCACAGAATCCCCTCTGGTTACAGAAACCAATTCCCAAAGCAAAGTCCTCCTCTCGGTTGTTTAGCTCCTCTTCATCGGCTTCAACTCGGTCCAAATCAAAGTCCACCTTCTCCATTTCCCGTTCTCTGGGCCTGGACGCGGCCGCCGTTGAAGAGGCCACCACGGGAGTACCAAACACTAGACGACCCCAAAAAATTGATCCCCATGAAAGCCTGAATGCTCCCAAAACAAAGCCACCTTCTTCCAAAAACAATCGGTCTTCCTCCCTTCTTCGTTCTCTTTCAGTTTCCAACTTAGCCAACGTGTTTAAGTTGAAATCATCTTCAAAAACTTCGGCTGCGGCTAAAGTTGAAGTTGAAGTTGAAGTTGAAGGTGACCACAACAAAACCAAAACTGAAGTAGAAAATAGAGGTGAAAAGGAAGTTCAAGTAGAGATAATCCTCAAACCGAGAATGCCCGCCGAATTACCTCCTCACGTTCACGCCATCTCCTCACCACTATCTGCCGTCTCCTCCTCATCACCCTCCTTTGAGTACATCGACTCGACGGGAGAGGATGATGATGTGATGGATGAGGATGAAAATCACGAGGAGGAGGATTCAGGCATCGGCGAACCTCCGAGCAGTAAAGTCCAAGCGAACTCCAGCACCAGCAACCTACGCCACCAAAAATCAACTTCCTCCTCCTTCTTCAAGTCCCTCGACTCAAACCTGACCGATGAGGGAGGCGGAACTTCCGCCTCTGAGGGCGCCTCCATGAGTGGGCATCGAGTGGAGGGAGGAGAAAGAGGAGGTGTTGATAAGAGACGTTTCTCCTCTTCTGATAAGGAGAATGAAGCTAGGGCTAACTCCGGTAAGAAGCAAGTGACAAGTGGTGGTGGTGGTAAAGGTGGTGGCTTTCGCCACTTTCTCGCCTCCTCCTTTGGCCACCTGACCAAGTCAAAGTCGGTGTCCAATTTGAGGTCATCATCACACCATCACCCTCACCCCCATCATCACCACCAGCACCAAAACTCCCGACACAAATCCTCCTCCTCTCCTCCTCCGTCCCACAAATCAACCGCTCTAGGCTCCCTTGGCTCCGACTGTTCGATGACCTCGGCCAACTCGGCCAACTCGAGGAGGTCTTCGCGGAGCAGCAGTTCTCGGCCCTTCTTGACCGGGGCTGCTTCGATGTACTCGCTCAGTAATCAGCAGCAAAAAACAGCTAAAAGTCAAAAGTTGGCCCATCCTCAACTTCCCAGTTCTCCGGTCTCTTCGGGAAGATCTTCAAACGGAACTTCGGCTTCCTCGTCAACTGCCGCCGCCCCTAGCGCCCCCAAAGCCTACAAACAGCAGCACCTTTCCTTTTCCTATCTTTCATCGCTTTAATCTGTTTTTTTGCAGACCTTTTTGCATTACTTAAAAGCACTACTTAGACTATTCATTTTGCACTTTTGCACTTAAAGCCTAAAACCTCTTTTACTTCTAAATCCTTTTCAACTAAAACTAACTTGCCACTTTTTTCTCTTTTTCTCTATCCCTTTCTCTCTTTCCTTTCCCTTACTTTTCCTCTAAATCTAAATCTAAAATTCGGTGCTGAACACTAAACTTTCTCTACTACTACTACTACTACCTCTTCTTCTTCCTCTAATCTGCTACATCCTAAACTGGCTAAACATCCTAATCTATTCGGGTTTTTATTACTTTTTTCCATTTTCATTTCAATTCAATTACTACCACTTAACATAACATTTGCATGCATTGCTTTTTCCTGCAAAACGTTTGCCCAAACACAAATCACATTTCAATTATCATCACCACCACCATCAGAGGGCAAATATTCCAAGCCCTCCTCTTCCGGCGACCGATCCGCCCTTTCCTTTCACTTTCTTCCATCATCACATTCATCACGTGGCGCTAGTCCGTGGGACCAACTCGAGGAGGAGTACGAAGATGAAGATGGAAATGGAGAGGATGGAGAAAATGGAGAGCGGACATCGACTGGTGGCCAGTCGACCATCGTCGAGGAGGACGAAGAGGAGTACCTGGTTCAGCAGCGGGCGCTGGAGATTGAGCGCATCATTCGAGAGGCGAAACGACGAGAGCTGCAGGACTACGACGAGCAGAACTCCCAAACTGATGATGTTGAGCAGTCCCGAGCGGTCCTCCAGTCTACCTCAGCTCCTGAACAACAGGAAGAGCAGCAAACTCAAACTGTCAGTTCCACTACCGAACCTTCCAAAGCTGAAAAAAAGGAGGAGGAAAAAAAAGAAGAAATCGAGCGTGAATCAGAGTTGCCAAATTACGACATCGACGACGACGACGACCTCAGCGTCAGCGACCGGCCCGACTACTTTCCCGGATCCGGAGATGAGGAGGACGAAGTCGAGGACAAGGTCGAGGATAAAGTCGAGGACAAGGAGGTCAACGAGGACCTGGACAATGACGACGACCAGGACAAGGACAAAGACAGCCAAGACAAAGACGACGACCTCGACGACGACCTCGACGACGACCTCGACGACGACCTCGACGATGAGGAGGAGCCCTCCAAGCGGGAGGTTGAGCCCGGCCTGGACGTGGAGTTTCTGGAGGCGGACGACGAGGTCTTCCTCTCGCAGGGCAACGAGCGGAACCAGGTGGAGGACAGCCGCATTACCAGCAACCGAGAGGAGGCGGAACGGCGGCGATGGCTCCAGGGCCGAAGGTCACAGCTGGAGGAGGAGGGATTCAGGAGCTTCTCCATTGCCGCCTGTGCCCCTACCACTACCACCAAGTCCACCAAATCCTTCTCTTCCTCAGACAACACCACCACCTTTAAAAGGCTTTCCAAGGACCAAAGTTCACTGGAAAAAGAAGAAGAAGAAGGAAGTGGAGTTTCAAAACCTTTTTCCCCTGTTGAATCAGATTCAGATTCAGGATCAGCAGCAGCAACAGCAGCAGCAACAGCAACAACAGCAGCAAAGATCGCCGCCGCCAAGCAGGCGTTCTTCGAGTCAACGCCCCAGCCCCAGCCCCAGCCCACAACTTTTTTCTCTCCTACCACGCCCCCAAATGACGCCCCCAAATGGAGCGAACAGTTTGAGCAGTTTTGCCTCTCCTCATTATCATCACCATCTTCCTCAGCCTCTTCCTCCTCCTCACCGATGTTGCTGGTGGCGGCGGATGATGATGAGATTGTGCTGGTTCAGGCTGAGCAGCTGAACATAAGAGAATCGAACCAATTAAATTCTCTTCGATTCTCATCCTGTTGCCATTCACAGCATCAGTTGGCCTGTTTGAATACCAGTTCTGCAGTACNGAACATAAGAGAATCGAACCAATTAAATTCTCTTCGATTCTCATCCTGTTGCCATTCACAGCATCAGTTGGCCTGTTTGAATACCAGTTCTGCAGTACAGCAGACTGATATGTGAAAATGAAGAGGTCTCTTTCTTCAATTGCAGAACACAACCATTTTTTCATTTTTCATCTAGCTGATGTCGCGAACACTTTTAACTTTTTCCCTTTTCTTATATTCTTTATTGATTTGATTTGTCTGAACACTGGGACTCACACTTTAACTTCTTTCATCGCTTTAACTACATTTTATTAACGATGATGATCATTACCATTTTCAACACTATCCTTCTTCATTGCATTTTTTGCCATTAACTATGACATTACTTCTCTATCTTATCAATCACCTTACCATGTCATCATTATCACTATCAAATCATCTCATCACCTGGCTTTCACATCTTGAATCCTCATCATCACTTGAATCATTTGCTTATCATCACTGGCTTTCATTACTGGCTCTCTCTCTCTCTCTCATTTATCTGGCTAAACATTTTCATTGTGCCCACACAACACTTCTCATTTCAATCATCTCAAAAATCCCCAACTCCCTAATATTCTTAGACTTATCATTGTGATCATGACCCGTATCTCATTCATTCATTCATCTTATTATTATCACTTACTGTATTATCTTATTCTTAAACCCTCTGATTATAATCACCTATTTTTGCATCACTCTATTTTCATACGCGCAGAAACACCGACAATTGAACCGACCTATTTTTGTAACGCAAGTTTGCCATTGAGTTGAGTTGAGCTGTGTTGCAACTACTGTGGAATGCTGACCACACATTTGATTGCACAATCACTCACTCTTCAACGGTAAACAGTGATGATGATAATGACCAGACATATTTTTCGCCCCCTCTTTTATCATCATAATTATTTTTTCATCCTTTCCCTTTCCTCTTATCCGCCGCTGCACCACTCTCTCTCTCTCTCTAGTTTAAACTCCCATTTCGGGCTCTTATTAGTGCCCAGCACTCTTTTCCCTTTTCCTCTGTTTATCCCTGTTTCATCCCTGTTTCAATGGTCTTTATCCATTTACATCCTCCCCTCCTTGAGTGTCCTACCTTGAAATAGTTTCTCTTTCTCGATCACTCATTCATGTTGCCAATCCCCATAATTATTTTTTTGTTTTTTTCCTGTCCCTTTCCTAAACTTTTGCTCAAGTTGGCCCTTTTGTTCTCTCTTTCTCTTCAAACTTTGGCTCAACTTTTCAATCGTTTTCCCTCTTCTTTCGCTTTTGTTTGTTAGCAAACTGTTGGTTTGTACTTTTGCTTAGCGAATTCCCCAAACAAAAAAAACGGGCAGCTGTTTTGCAAAGTGCAACTAAAACATCGACATTTTGTTTTCTTTTTCTCTCTTGAATCGCCATTGAGACTTTATTCATTGATTCTCACATTGACACACACACAAACAATTTGTGATTCCTTTCTTGTTTTTCCTTCTCTTCCCACCTTAGTCGTATCATGTTCTCATCCCTTTTCCTTTTTAATTTATTTGAGTTTGCTTTCTTGTTAACACAACACAACACAAGACACCTACAAACTTCAGAACTACCATTTATTGATTCATTTATAAAACACACACACACACTTCACTAATTAAACAGACCACTTCAGTGTGCAACCCAAAAACACAGCCCATTATAACACTTACAAAACTGAATTCAAAAGTTGAGATACCCAGCACAATAAAGTTATAAAGCAGAAAATGGATATAAAAACTTAAAACACTGTTGGGCAATGAAAGACTGAATGAAAGACGATGCAGTGAAAAAGGAACTCGTGATAGTGCAAGAGACAGTAATCTAATGTCTCTTCCAGGCCCCTTTGGCTGAGCTTCGAAGGAGCTTTGCAGCCTTCTTCCACTGAAGAATAAGTGAAAAATGAATGAATGAATGAATAATGACAGCTACAACTGCCACTAGGTCACTTTGAAGACGCAACTGTCCAGGAAGAGGCAGTGCCCCGGGAGGTGCCCTCAAGAATGCCAGGAAAACCAGTAGTCAAGATCGGAAAGGTTGGAAAGTTTCGCGGACTGTTTACTGGGTGAAGTAAGGACAGCAATACAAGTGGAGAAAAGTTAGTCAGAAGTACCTAGTACCAGCAGCGGCCTGCTGCTGCTAAAGCGCGATCTTGGCTTCAGTTCTTCTCTGTTAGTCGAGAAGTCTCTTTTAGTAACTCGACAGTAAGAGAAGAGCTGAAGCACGATGGACACGCTGACTGACGTGAAGATGGAAGAACAGGCCACGAACTAGAACTAGTCTCCTCTCTCGTCCTTTTTTTATTATACTTCTGGTGACGACTTCAACCAGTCGTGGAAAAGAGGTGGGAGAATGTACACTGCTTACACTTGTTAGCCTCAAATAGCCCAGTGGTGCGCCTGGTGGTACTAATGTCGTTGTAGAGTCTTTGTGTGTGTGCGTGTCTTTGTGTCCACTAGTGAATGCGCAAGTCGGTTTGGCTATTCCGTTCCGAGCTACTGGGTGTTGTATGTGCAGTGGAACTGTGACTGGAAACAGGTTGGGGTGCCCGAAATCATTTTTTGTTTGAAATGCTCGGAATGGTCGATGCCAACAACGGGCTCGCATCTAAGATGGGTGCCTTCCGTTTGCAAATAAAG